AAATTTAGTCTATTGTAATTCTGCTTACTCTGCCATGTCTGTCCCCTCCCATGGAAAGTACAGTAAAGACATCTATTGTGATTTCTCCCTTTTGCAACTTCTGCCTTCCTATGTGGTCCTCTATGGCATGATGCATTCTGTTTCTCAGGATCTGTATCATTTATTATATTCTTTAATTTTTTCATTGTACTTGTCACTTTTTAATTTTCTTCTTCTTCTTTTTTTGTGTGTGGGGGGTCCGGTCGTGGGACCTGAACGCTGGGCCTGGACGCTGTCCCTCAGCTCTTCAGCTCAAGGCTAGAGCTCTACCACTTGAGCCACAGCGCCACTTCCGGCTTTTTTCTTTTTGCTTATGTGGTGCTAAGGAATGGAATCCCAGGGCCTCAGGCAGGCAAGGCAAGCGCTCTACCACTGAGCCACCTTCCCAGCCCACTTTTTAATTTTCCTTCTGTGATCTTTCCAGGTCTGACAGTCCAGAACTTCTTTGGTCAGTTGTTTGCAGTCATTGGAACGCTCTGGTGGATGTAGCTTGAGACTTGGGTAAAGATGGAGGGATTGTGGAGATGTTTGCACCTGAGAGCAGATCTGAAGCTGGCTGCACTGTGCACTTGCTAGGGACTGTTAGCAGCATGGTGACTTAGTGGTTCTTTGGCATCTCCTGGGTTTTTTGTCTAGCCCCTTTCCATCATCTGTAGGGACAGCCATGTTTGTCTATACTGTATCTTCACCATCAACTATATTTTCAATGGCGGTTTTCTTTTGATTTGTTATTTTTACCATGATTAAGCAGAAATAGAACCTATTAAAACACTTGCCAAGTTTCACTACTTATCATTCTTCTTTAGCTGGGTGTTGGTGGCTCATGCCTAGAATCCTAGGTACTTAAAAGACATGAGGATCACAGTTGAAAGCCAGTCCAGACAAAAAGTCTGTGAGACTCTTGTTTTCAATTAACTAGCAAGCTGAAAGTGGAGTATGGTTCAAGTGGTAAAATGCTAGCCATGAGCAAAAAAGCCAAGTGAAGGAGTGAGTGTCTCAGTTTGAGCCCCAATACTCTCTCTCTCACACGTTACTCTTCTCTCTCTCTTTTTTTTGGTCCGTCATGGGGCTTGAACTCTGGGTCTGAGCATTGTCCCTCAGCTCTTCAGCTCAAGGCTAGCGTTCTACCACTTGAGCCACAGCACCACTTCTGGATTTCTGATGGTTTATTGGAGATAAGTGTTTCATGGCTTTTCCTGCCCAGGCTGGCTTTGAACCACGATCCTCAGATCTCAGCCTCCAGAGTAGCTAGTATTATGGTATGAGCCACCAGTGCCTGGCTCTTCTCTCTTTTTTTAAGTAAAGATACCTCAAACTCTTTTGCCTGAGATATGTATGAGAGATATATTTTGAAAGGAGCTGAAGGTATGATTCAAATAATAGAGTACCTGCCTAAAGCATTTGATGCCCTGAGTTCAATACCCAATAGTGCCCCCAAAAAAGAATGAAGAAAAAAGACAGAAATGTATTTTACATGGTGATACATATTACCATATATATATGAACTCATGGAACTAATAGTTTTATGAAACAATACATAAGTTTTTCACATGAAGGTTATTTTGCTTTCTATTCTGTTCTATCACATTTGAAAGTAATTCTTAGCCTTGGTTTCATAACTTTGTAATGGAGAGACTTATCTAGGATTTCCCAGATATAAGTGACAGACATCACTTTGAATCATCTAGTTGCTGAATGGAAAATAGATAGCAGGCTAAAATTGACCTGAGGATTCGTTATAAGGATAATTCTGGTGAGAGAGATTGGTAACTGACAATAAGGTTGAGAAAAGTGGGTAGATCTGAAGCAGTGAATCACAGAATCTCATGCTGGTTGCATGTGGTTGTAGAGAAAAGAGTGAGGAGTCATGTTTCAGGTTTGGCATCTGGAGTGGATGGTGGTGCTGCTTCCTGAGACACAGAAGCTTTGCAGTTCAGGCTCCAGCTGCTAAGATAGAGGTATAGGGACACTAGATCAGAGCTGAGCTGTGGATAGTTGGGTGTGTAGCACTTAGGAAGAAAATCAGGGTTGGATTATTAAAACAAACACATGGAGATTTTTACCGCTTTATGGCCACTATAAGAAGCGTGAAACTTGTTCATGACAGACACAAAAGGTTTTGATGGCAGAAGTCTGTCACCTCAACTGATCTAAATGATAAGTTTGAGGCTAGTTTGAGCAAAATTAGACAAACCTATTTAAAAAACAAACTAATAACCAAAAGACTTGGGTGTGTTACTCAAGTGGTAGATTATCAAATGTAATTTCCTGGCTTCAATTTCTAGTACTGTAACAACAACAACAAAAAGTATTTCCAGTAATTTGATGTTGAGATGAGGAGGTTAAATAATATAGGTGAGAAAAATTTATCAAGGGAGCTGATTAACACAAATTGCTACAAAGAATTTAACTTTGTCTCATGTTCTCTTGTTCCTTTTGGTTGACTGTTCTTTAATATGTGTGTATGGAGAGAGAAAGAGGAAACACCATGCAATTACACGTTTGTATTACAGAGTGACTTAACGATGCTGGCCTAAATGACAGCTCCCTTGGTTTGGGCTTTCTCAGATGTTGGTCCATAGACTTAATCCTCTCAAATCTAGATGCTCAATCTAAATAAAATACGTGTATGGGGTGTTAACAAGAGCCACGGATTTGGGATCACTTTGAGAAAATGTTCTGTTTTAATCATGTGTATGTGTGTGTGTGTGTGTGTGTGTGTGATAAAGAGTGCTAAGGATGGATCACACTCTTAGTGGTCCTCTATCCCCACCCTCTTCTGATCTCCTCTTTTCTCCCCTTTCCCCCTTCTGCGTTATTCTGGGATTAACCGTGGGGTCGGCCCCATACACAAACGCAGCTGGCTCACACGCTCAGACTGAGCCCCGCTGTGCAACCTCGTCAGGAATTCCAGTAAGTTGGCAACACTGGAGCACAAAGACAACAACAATGAGGAAAACCCTTCAGTGCAGAAAGGAATGTTTGTAGCCCCGACTGCTACAGTGAAAGGACACACACACACATTCACACACACACGCACACACACACACACACACACACACAAATGCACGCTCGCGCCTGCGCACCCACACCGCGCACCGACCAAGCCCAGCCCCTCTTACACACGCGGTCCTCTCTCCCACCTGCCGGCCCAGGGCTGGCGCGCACCTCCTGGGCCTGGCGGCTTCTTTGTAACTCGGAGGTGCAGGGACGCCCAGTGATTCTGCAGCTTGGCCCCAGTGGGCATTGGTTCAGCCTGACCCCGGCGCGGTCTCGTACCATCGCCCTGGCCTCTGGCCGCCTGGAGCCCGCATAAATCACTGGAGTGCAGCGTCGGCCCCCTCACCGCTCCCCTCCTCCCACCCAGGCCGTCCCCTTCCCTCCCCAGCTCCCTCCAACCCTCGGGTCCCCAGCCCTCCCCCTTCTCGGCGCCGCACAGCAGGAGGCAAGGAAGGGTTCCAGTGCCTGTGGCCAGGTCACACGACTCTGGATCGCGCCCCCCCCCTTTCAAAAGTCCTTCCACATCGTGTTCTTTTTTTTTTAAAGTCAGCTCTCTCTCTCTCTCTCTCTCTCTCTCTCTCTCTCTCTCTCTCTCTCTCTCTCTCTCGTTTTCCCAAAGAAACACCTGTCCCTAAAAACTAAAGCCCATCAAAGCCACACAGTCTGGATGTTTGGAGCCCTCTGAGTCCCAGACTGTGGGTGATCGGGACAGAGGGGTTCTAGTAACTGGCAGGTGGTGTCCCCTGAAGAGGGGGGGGGGTAGTGGGACCTGGTCCGGGGACCACGTGGGTGTAGGTTTGCCGCCTCCACGCGTCACAGCCCAGTTGCCTGCGCTGGGGGTGGGGTGGGGGTGGGAGGAGGAGGAGGTTGGGTTTAGGACTGCAGGACTCGCCGTCCCAGACTGAGGCTAGCTTTCAGGGGCGGGGGCGGAAGATTCTGGGACCTCGGGCTCCTATAGAGCGCCTAGCAGCCCTCGGTTTTCCCCAGCGCGCGGGGACTCGTGTGAGGGGACGATCAGCCTCATACACTGGGGAGTCCGTCCCCGCCAGCCCGCGCAACAAGTCTCCAAAGAAGGAACCCGCCGCTAACTTTAAACCACTTGTAGCACTGGCGCCACAGAGACGCTCATGCTTTAATTTTTGAAACTTTTATTTCTTACAATAACACTTTTAAGAAGCGCGATCTAACCATGACACCTGTGAAGCTAAGCAAGTGAAACCTCGTCTCTTCCTCAATGTTCCAAACACCTCTCCAACTTGGAAAAAACACCACCCAACCAAGCAGTCTGAACTCGATTAGGAAAAGCAGGGGCTCAAAAGAGCCAAGACAGGGAATGAATGGGACAGATTTCTCCAGTCCGAGAAATCCTGCGCTCCCATCCTTGTCTCCTCTCCTCTTTCCTTCTGTCTTGTTTTTTTGCCTCTCTTTCCTCTTTCCATCTGTTCCTCCTCCCAGCCTCTACGCTTGACGTTTCCTTTCTGCATTCCTTCCCACGGCTCACTTGGTTTGTACGAGTGTGTCGGTGGGAGATTTCACGTGGATTGCCCGGCCCACTTCTGTTTGGGGACAAATTCTGCGGAGAGCCGAGGGCAGCGCGCGCCTGTCAGTCAAGATTTCCATGAGGCTGGAATGTGGGTGAATGAGGAGTGTGTGTGTGTGTGTGTGTGTGTGTGTGTGTGTGCAGGCGTGAGTGAGCGTGGGAGAATGTCAGTGTGTGCCGGGGAGGAGCGTGCGCTCTTGTAGCATTGCACAAGTGTGCGAGCGTGTGGAGGGCGCGCGTGTGAGCGCGCATGAGTTCGGGTGCCCACTCCTCCCCGCGCAGCGAAGTGCAGGGGGCGGGCCAGGCGGCAGGGGGCCTGCCCCGCTGGATTCCCGCATGCTAGTTCCGGGGCGGTCGGGTCTAAAGGGCTTTATGCACGGTCTGGAGGGTGGGGACTGGCGCTGCTAGAAAACGGGTTGCCTCAGGCGTCGGGGCAGCCTTTTCGCCACTAGGAGGGAGCTGCGGCACGGACGGGAAGGAGTCGCCGGGAGTGGAGACGCTGCCTGGTCTGTGTGCGGCGCGCGCGCCCACCTCCCGGGGAAGGAACGGCGAGGCCGGGGACAGTCGTGGTGATGGGGCGCCGGGCGGCGGCGGTGGCTGGTACGCTGCTGCTGGCGCTCGCCGCCAGCCTAGTGCCGGTCCGAGGCCAAGGTAAGCAACCAGTGGCTGGAGCCCTGCGCGCAGCGCGCCCGGTGGGGGTTGAGTCCACGGGCCGGCGGAGAGCGAGGCAGCGTGGGGCGGTGGCGTGGGAGCGCTCTGGCGGCCCCGTGAGCGGAGGTCAGCAGCGCCCCTTCTGCGTTCGCCCGGGAACCCAGCAGTCTCCAATTTGGAAACGCAATCCCGTGCGATTGCGTGACAGCGCACCCCACGGAGAGTCGCGTCTTTGTCCCCACGCGGGCTTGTTCCGACCCCTCACGGAAAGCCCTGTGGGCTGGAACCCGGAGGACGCGGAGCTTCCCGCGCAGGGCTGCAGCCTCGGCCGGCGGCCCGCGGGCCCGGCCCGGCGCTCCGCTCCTCCGCGTGGCCGGAGCGCAGCGCTCCACCTGCAGCGCCCCGCCGGCACGTCGGCTGGCGCGCCCGGGCGCGGGCGCCGGGCACCCCTCCCACCTCCGGCGAAACTTGGTCTCTCGGTGACCCCCAAGAGACCGCATCTCACGACACAGATCCTTTGCCAGCCCAGATAAGGCCAGGAGATGGGATTGGTTCAGAGAGCTGCTGATAGACTGGAGACTTTTTCTCGAAGGGTTTTCCTTTCCACCCCGGAGTGGAGGCTTTTGTGTTGATGAATGGGGCCCGTTTGCTCCGCCAGAGTTTGGGAGTTCGAATGCAGAAAGTTTCTAGTGTGACTTTAAGCTCTCTTTCACGTTGTCGGAGGCAGATTTTACAGAAACAGACGATAGGGACAGAGAGGAACAAGCGGGGGGGGGGGGGGGAGCCTGCAAGAAAGGGAAAGACAATCTTCAACTAAGTAGAAAGGAATGGAGAGAGTGAGCAAAGAGGGGAAGAGCAGGAAAGGGCGAGTGAGCGGGTGAGAGGAGGGAGGGAGGGAGGAGGAGAGGAGAGAGGGAGAGGAGAGAGAAAGAGATGGACAGAGAGAGAGAGAGAGAGAGAGAGAGAGAGAGAGAGAGACCCGGCGCGCGCGCGAGACCGGGAGAGGCCCGGGATGAATGGGCCGGGCGCAGGGAACCTGCGGGCTCTCTCCCTGGCTTTGCGTTGCTAGGTAGCGGCCGGGAGCTGCGTGTGACCCACCACCAGACAGACAGAGAGGACGCTGCTGCCACCGCGGTGACTAATCTGTCTGTGGGGACGGAGGAGTCCCCCCTTTCCCCTCCTGCTCTTTCCCGTCGAACAACTTAATTGCCCTACAATAAAAATGAAACCCCTATTGTTGCAGGATTAGCCAAAGCAATAAATTGATTTCCCTGGATCACACTTTGGGCTTGACTGGGGTGGTGGTGGTGGTGGTGGTGGTGGACGGTGGAAGTCCGGGCTTGTGGAGAAGAGAGGGGAAGGCTTGTGGATGGGCCGAGGTGCCATGTATTCAAATGGTTAATCTGCTTTCTTTCTCAATTCTTAGCATAAGCGCCTTACAGGGAATCAAGTAAGTAATTATACGGCAACTCCTAGCAGCACCCATTTCAGACTTCCTGGGAAGTTCAGGAAAGGCCAACAAACTCTGCCTGTCGGGAAGGGGGGTGGGCGTTGTGGGGGAAGGCAGGGTTTCTTGGAGCACCTTTCCTTAGTGCTGGAAACACGGAGAGAGGGTTTTGTTATTGGTGGGGGTCGCCCAGTGCTCAGGGGTCTACATGTCTGTAAACCACCCAGATCTTAATATCTACCTGTAAAATCCTGGTCATATTTAGCACATTATATACCTGTATCTAGAATGTTTCTGTCACTTGGAAAAAGAAAATCTTGCAAGACAGATGTGGAACTGTGGCTCAAGCAGTAAAGTGCTAGCCTTAAGTGAAAAACCTAAGGGGCAGTGCCTAAGCCCTGAGTTCAAACCCAAGTACTGCAACCAAAAAACAAAAAGTTTCTGAAAAAAAAGATAGCTGTTTATGTAGCAGGTAGTTTACCTTATATGGAAAAGACCCACTTGCGTAGTAACATGGGCAACCTGACATTTCTGGTGGAGCAGGAGGGAGAAAGAACTCACTTCAAAGGGATATTATGAAGATTAAACACATGGGACCTGCCATGTTGAAAGGGTATGCTATGTCATTATTACCATCCGTGTTATTACAAATTATTACATAGAATGGGATATCTCTGGATGTAAACCACCAAGACTAGCCTACTGGTTATTTAGTAACTGGACTATTAACCCAGGGAAAGAATGTGTGTTTAGGTGACACAGGGACATCTGTAGATGCACGTGTTTTATATGGTTTTTAATTTGTTCTACAACATATTTCAATTTAATGGTTTATTGAGAACTTTTCTGAAGCAAGTACTCTTATCCCAATGTTACAGATAGGAAAAGCAGAGGTACAGAATATTTTATCCAGGTCATACAGCCAGAAAATGGCAGAGGTCTGAGGAGCCTAAGGAATTCTAACCCTAGAGTCCTTAATATAACTGCTACCTAGTGTAGTACTCTCTCTCTCTCTCTCTCTCTCTCTCTCTCTCTCTCTTGCTCTCTCTCACACACACACGCACACATACATTAGAAATGTCTTTTCCATATAAGGTAAATTACCTGCTGCTTAACTGCATATTTTTTCAGAAACTCTGTGTGTGTATGTGTGCGTGTGTGTGTGCGTGTGTGTGTGTGTGTGTGTGTGTGTGTGTGTGTGTGTGAGAGAGACTATATGGCTTGAATTCAGGACCTCAGGACCTTAGGCACTGTACTTTAGCTTTTTCACTCAGGGCTAATACTTTACCACTGGAGCCACAGTTCCATGTCTGGCTTTTTGGTGGTTAATTGGAGATAAGAGTCTCATAAACTTTCCTGTCCAGGCTGGGTTTGAACTGTGATAATCAGATCTTAGCCTCTGAGTAGCTAGGATTACAACCATGAGCCACTGGTGCCCAGCTTTTTTTTTTTTCTGAGACCCTTCAAAAACCTAAATCCACATATGGCATTTGTATGTCTCAGTGTGGTATGCTGAGATCTTTTACTTATCCTATGAAGTAAAATATGATGAAATTGCAAATGTTTTTAGTAAAATTTGGCTTACTTTTTTGGTCTGTCACGGGGCTTGAACTCAGGGCCTGGGCACTTTAATTGAAGGTAAGAGTCTCACAGGTTTTCCTGACGGGGTCTGGCTCTGAACTGCGATCCTCAGATCTCAGATTCCTCAATAACTAAGACTACAGGTGTGAGCCACTGGCACCCTGCAAGTGTTCTTTTGATTATTTATTAATTTTTATTATTATAAAGATGATGTACAGAGGGGTTGCCATTTCATAGGTCAAGTAATGAGTATATTTCTTTTTGGACACTGTCACCTCCTTCCTTCATCTCTCCCAGTTTTTCCCTTCTAATACGCCCCTCCCCTACAAGTTGTTCAGTTCATTTTCAACACAGTATCTAGTAAGTACCACTGCTGAATTTGTTCACCCTTTGTTCCTCATTTCTATACCCCTTAACCCCCACAAAAACAGATAAATGAACAAACAAGACAAACTGAAAAGAAAAAAAAAAACACTTCTTGTTTCCTGCTTCGATTGGCTTCAAAGCATGATCCTCAGATCTCAGCATCCTGAGTAGGCCTGAGCCACTTGCTCCTGGCATGGATCAAATTTTTAATGATACAGTTGACATAAAGATATCCCAGGATATTTTATGAGTATAAAGACATGAATTATGTCAAGTACTTAGCCTGCTGGGAAGCATATATACAGCAAAATTAGCTAGTTACTGTTTTAGTTATCTTTATGGACACTGACAGTAGCTTAGCCTTTTGCTTACTGTTCATATTTCAAAGGTACATAGAAGTCTTCGTCAAGCACTTTTTTTTACTAGCAGGTCTTTGAGGAATTCAGAATGTACTCTTGATTTTGTTTTCAAGAAATTAGTATTGACCTTAAAGTTACATTTTTTGATCTAATAACATTTTGGTTATGTGTTTACGGAGTAGCAATAAGGTTTATCATGATCACATCTTGGAGTGGAGTTTCTATTTAAAAAGGACTGTGGGAACAATGTAAACATGTGGCATTCTTGACCCTGAGCATCTCTAGGACCACTCTGATGCTTTCTATTTCAGAGTTGCCTTCTATTTTTCTGTTCCCTTCAATCACTGTCCCTTTTAATAGAAACGGTAATAGAAACTTAGATATCAGTTTGTCTGCGTCTATTATTTTAAGATCATCAGTTAATTCTGAGGAAATTAACTTCTGGGAAGGCCTGAAAGCTCTGAAAGGGAAAGGGATTGAATACCTTGCCAAGGGTATAAAGTCTGAAGTAGAAGTAAAATCTAATTCTGAGTCTCTCATTCCTAGTCCACGCAGTGGCTCACATTTAGACGCGTGTCCTCTGAATGTCCTCTCTGTCCTTGTTCTGGTAGATGTCTAGATTCCTTTCTGGTGATCCTGACTTATCAGATGAGGTAAAGTATGTCAAGTAGTAGATGATCTTAGCGAATCCTTAAAAAAAATTGGATGTGCTTCTTATCTCAGGCCTAAGAGGAATTCTGTGATAGGTCAATCTAGTCACGTGCCAATGCTTTCAGCTAGGTCTGGAATTTGCCTAGTAGACCAACTACCAGAGATTATACCCTTTACCACCCTCAAAGACCATGCCCTCTATCCAGTTTTCAAATTGATGGGCCATTCCTGAAGAACTTTGTGGTTTTTAGTATACACCGCTGGAGAATTAGGCTTTATCTTCTTCAAGGTAATTAGTAGATGGTGGTTAATTACTGTCCATGTTCTCTATGCACGTAGTCATAAACATTTTATTATATATTTTCATTAAAGTTTAAAAAACATTGATGTCAAGAGCCTAAATGTATATCCTGTGTTACTAAAATCATAATGTTACATTGACTTTGGGGTGCCTGTTAAGTGCTAGTAGCTAGATCAGGGTAATTAGAAAGTAAAGGGTGATTACAAAAGATTTTATTATTTAACCTAGTTATTGTAGTTTTGGGGATAAAATCCAGGCCCTTATGAATGGGAGGCAAGCTCTCTACTCTGACCTA